TCCATGTTTCATGGTATGCCCCCATTGCCTTCGTGTCCTGTAAACGATGATGTGAACATTCCATGTCAGAGGGTGGATATAATGAAGAGATTAAGGTTCTAGACATTTTTGATGACAAAGAGTTGCTCAAGCTTGCAATTGGAAGACAATGCATGGAACAAGGTAAGCAGTATAAGACTACCAGATCGAGCAAAGAAAGGTTCGAGGTGGTTTGTTTGGTAGAAAATTGTTCTTGGATGGTTAGTGCAAGGGGAATCAAATCGACTACTGCTTTCCAAGTCACAAAAGTTGTTGACCAACACACTTGTTATGCAACAAACTTGGAGTCTAATTATCGACAATCAAAGAAAAAGGTACTCGGCCACTTTATCGCTGAAGTATTGGCCGGAGATTATAATAGAGTTTATCGGGGTAATGAAATTGTGAGGGACATCAATTCGAAATTTCAATCAATATCTCATACCAACAGGCATGGCGGGCAAAACAATATGCGTTGTTGATGTTAAGAGGTACCCAAGAGGATTTATTCACCAAACTACCATCGTATCTGCACAACTTGGTCAAGCATAATCCAGGAACTGTTACTCAGATAAGAACAGATGATGATGATCGGTTTGAGTTCGTGTATATCGCGTTGGGTTGCCCGGTAAGTAGTGATAATTTTTTATAACAAATATAACATATGAATCCTAATTGGTATTGTTTAATGCCATCAAAAAAAATGTAGGTATAAGCGTTCCTCAAATATTTGTAGGCGGACCCTAATAATTGATGGTGGTCACCTAAAAGGTGAATTCAAGGGTACGATGTTGCTCGCAGTGACAATGGACGGTCAAAAGCAAATCATGTATGTTGCTTATGCCATATGCAAAAGTGAATGTACGTAGACATGGTCATGGTTCCTTCGAAAACTACGTGAATGTCTAGGCAACGTGGAAGACCTTACATTCATATCTGATAGGGCTCCATCCATAGCGACGTCAATTGCAAATATATTTCCTCACTCCCAGCATGGAATATGTGGTATCCACTTGTATTTCAACATTTCAGCAAAATTTGGAAGCAGCGATACAATACACGCATTATTTTGGGAGACATGCAAAGCCTATACTATTAAAAAATTCGAAAATGGGATGAAAAAAATTAAAAAGGTAAATGCTCGTGTATGGGAATACTTACAAAACATCAATCCAGAAAGATGGGCTAGGGCACATATTCCTGGGAATCGGTATTTTCTTATGACATCAAATAGTGTAGAGTTGATAAATTCAATGTGAAGATTTGCAAGAAAGACGCCAATATTGATGTTGATTGAGTATTTCCGTGCAACAATGCAACAATGGAGTTTTCAGAAACGTAATGTTGCAGGGGCTAATATTTTATATATAATAGTACTTGAAATATTATTTTACTACTTATATGATATTATGAAATTATGTCTATTTTTTTAGCTGAAGCAAAAACAACACTCACCCCATGGGCTGAAACGATTATAGAAGCAAATAAGAATGCTTGTAATAATTGGATGGTGTATCCTATCTCAAATAGTAGATTTGAAGTGAAAAGTTGTACTCACAAAAGTGTCATTGTTGATTTCCAACAAAGAACCTGTACATGTAGGCGATGGCAAATAGATGGCTTACCTTGTGGCCATGTCATAAAAGTGCTCATAATGAACCGTTACGAAGATTGTTCGGAATTTGCTTTAAAAGCCTACTTTACAGAGACATTGAGGAAAACTTACGAGGAGTTTGTGAACCCCTTACCAAGTCCATCTGAGTGGGAGATTCCCGATGATTTAATGATTGTGAAGCCACCCATAATGGAGAGACGTCAGCCGGGTAGACCAAGAAACACTGGTCGTATTCCATCGCAAGGTGAGCGTCCCATACAACAATAATGTTCTACATGCGGTCATTTTGGACACACGATGAATGATTGTACGGGTAGGGGATCGGGGAGTGAATCTGGGGGGAGGAAAAAATCGACACAAAAGGGCATAATGACTGATGAAATCGCATCCGGATGCGGGTCACAGAACGAAAGCGTGTACCCTACTTTTGATTTTAACAACACATTTGATTTAATGTCCTTAGATTAATGTAAGAAAGTAATGAATTCCCGTATTTGTAATATGTATTGCTTGTATTAAACTGCACATCTGACATTATTAATTAAATCTAGTACCCCACTTATTATTTACTTTATTCCATGCAAAATAAAACACAAACATAAAACATTATATAAAACGAGATACATCAGTAGCCAATTCTTCTTGTGTTCCAAGATGTAATGATCTTTAACCAATTCTAAAAGATCTTCGTCGTTGTTTGGATAACGATACCTATTTTTAAGATGATTATACCATCGATTGAACCATGTGATTTTTTCCTTTAAATCCATCCACTTACCAACAATATCTTCTTGTGTTCGGTGTTTTCCTTCTCCCAACGAGAGGTTAAACATAGCTGTTATGCGGGTCCATTCATCACCTTCAAAGCAATCAGGGTTAACCATGGTTGTTACATCCTCGTAAACGTTCATCCAACATCGTGTTACCACCATTACCTCTCTTATCGTCCATGGATGTGGAGTATTGGACGAAGCAGCTGCATTGGAAGAAGTTGTTTGATTGGAGGCCATTTTTTAAATTTGTTTGTTAGTTTGTTTTAATTTTATAGGAGTACTTAAATAAGAAAAAAGACTGATAAACAATTAGGTGGATTCCCATAAGCACTGTTTGAAACTACATTATGCAGGCTACAAAGCAGTAGTCAAAGTCTATAAAACCGTAGTCAAATAATTGTCAAAGAGTAATCCAATTGTCAGATACCTTACATGGAGATACTGTTTGAAATGACACATCTACTGTTGGAAATGACAATACATTATGCAGGCTACAAAGCAGTAGTCAAAGTCTATGAAACCGTAGTCAAATAATGTCAAAGAGTATCCAATTGTCAGATACCGTACACGGAGATACTGTTTGAAACAACAAATATACTGTTCGAAAAGACAATACATTATGCAGGCTACGAAGCAGTAGTCAAAGTCTATGAAACCGTAGTCAAATAATGTCAAAGAGTATCCAATTGTCAGATACCTTACACGGAGATATTGTTTGAAACAACAAATATATTGTTCGAAAAGACAATACATTATGCAGGCTACGAAGCAGTAGTTAAAGTCTATGAAACCGTAGTCAAATAATGTCAAAGAGTATCCAATTGTCAGATACCTTACACGGAGATACTGTTTGAAACGACAAATATACTGTTCGAAAAGACACTACATTATGGACCTTGCCTTTACAGCTCCTACATACATATGTGTCCGCATGTGGTAAGGCCCTTACCTCCACAACTTTAGGCACACTAAGTAATTGGTAATTGTCTCTTACAAGTTATTCGAAATGAGTTTCTCTGACAGTGACCATGAAGAAAGTTTTAAAAACTTGCCTGTTTACGTTTATAACCTAAGGCGAACCAACCCGCATACTGACACTCACATCAAAACGGATTTGATGGATCGTTTTCAATCTTGTTTTCTGGCTATTGGATGAGTGGTATATTTCTTTTCCAAATTTCTTTTGTTTCTTTACATTTGTTAATATTTGTACATTTAGACTAATTGGTTTGCACTCTAAAAAAATACAGGTCCATGCATTCGTAAATTGTTTCTTGCCTGTCCTCTACATAGGCAGTGTTCGTCTTATAGGGGACTACCTAAAAACAATGTTTGTAGTGGTTGCTAAAGATAGGAACAATCTGACTTTCCCTATAGCATTTGGTATGGCAGTTGAAAATACTGTGGTAACTTCTACGTGGTTCCTAATGAGGTTAAAAGAATTCCTCGGAGAGGGTAAGGAAGTAGCGTTCATATCCAATATGTACGATGTCGTTGGCACTTGCGTAGATAATGTTTTCACTGATTCTTATCATGGTTACACTTGTAAGAGTGTCCACAAATATTTACGCACAAGAGTAGGCTCTGGAAGATCAATGGAAACTTTGTTCTGGATAACATTAAAATCCTACACTATGTCAACTTTTGAACAAAATTTTTCTAGGCTACGTATTGATGCTCGTGAATTGCTTACGAATATCGGTCATCCGAAATGGGCAAGAGCCTATTTCCCTAACATCCGTTCGAATGTACTCAACATGGAAGTTCCTCAATATTTTTCAGTAGTATCGCTCAATCATCGTAATGTACCGATAATAGCGCTTATCGAGGGAAATACCATACCCTTTGATGGCTGTTTTATTGCCGATGTAAAATTTATTCCCTTTAAATATTGATGCATGTAATATATTTGTCGTTGTCTATGTAATATATTTGCTGTGTTGTTTGGAATATATTTTTAACATATTATGTTTGTAATATATTTGACATTGTGTTTGTAATATATTTGAAATATATTATGTTTGTAATAAACATAACATAAAACTAAAGGAAATTACAATTAGAAATAAACATAACATTATTAAAGGAATGTCTCACAACCTATTACATAATTAAATTGGTTTCCATAGATTAGGAAACTGTTTGGGATACAAGTTTTGTTCATGGTCGATAAAATCCCCTCTAATTCTAACAACATCTATTAGACGATCCCGTTCTGCTTGAAGCTTATCAAACTCCGTATTTGCATTTCGAATCTACTTCTTAGCTTCTTTGATTTTTTTTGTAGTTTCAGCAATCCATTTTTCTTTTTCAATTACTTGATCTGCTAGGTCGTTTGCATGTTGGTTGAGTTTGCGACTAATTTCAGAGTCCCTTTCGTTGGCTTCTTCAGCGGCCTTCATAGCATGGAAAATGTCGTCAGGCATGTAATCTGGGAGTGGGAAATCTGGGCATTCAGGAATTGGGTTTGTATCGGAACAAACATAGCAATCTTCGTCTTCACAATGCCAAACACCGAACTCAGATGAATTCATTCTCAATTTTTGAATGTTGTAATGTATGACGTTTAAGATGTATGTTACTTGCATATTAATAGTGTGAGAGCAAGAGCCTATTTCCCTATCATCCGTTGGAATGTACTCAACATGGAAGTTCCTCAATATTTTTCAGTATTGTCGCTTAATCAACGTAATGTACCGATAATAACGCTTACCGAGGGAATTCGTGAGTACATGCAAAATACTTTTGTTGAACGAAGTATAATGACAGGTAAATTTTTGGGTGCAATATAAAAGTACTAAATAACTAGTACAACAACCTTATATAACCATATTTATTTTTCAGGGAGTTTGACTATTGTACTAACACCGTATGCTCAAATGGTGCTTCAAAGAAGGATGCAAAAGTTTGTTGGTTGGCAAGCAACACAGATCCCCCAACAGATCTCGTCTCCCTTGCCGACATATGTTTATCTAGTTTTTGATTTTAAAACAACTTGTGTTGTAGACCTTAACGGTCATACTTGTTCATGTGACAAATGGCGCAGTCTCGGTATAGCATGTGGTCCTGCTATCACAGCAGCACGTCATTCAAACATGCATGAATTAGTTGATATGGTGCAAGTATATTACCATGCTGATGTATTTCAGCTCGTCTACCAGACACAAACCGTTCACCCTCTTCCCCCACCATCTGAATGGGAAATACCAGACCCGTTGATGGCTGTTTTATTGCCAATGTAATTTTTATTCCCTTTAAACAATG